CCCCAAAACCCCAAAACCCCATTCGCTTAATTTAGTATAACTAGAAGAGTTCTGTATTATTAATTATATTAAGATTAATTACTAAAATGCCTTTAATAGAAATGGTTGGAATTCCATGCTCTGGAAAGACTACGAGAGCGAATATTATTGCCAAGTATTTGCAAGAAAATCTGAGCTTAGAAGTTATTGTAATTAACGAGGAACTACTTGGCCTAAATAAGGTAGAATACTATAAGGATTCAACTCAAGAGAAAATTTTAAGAGGATCACTTAGGTCGAATGTCGAAAAGTATCTTGATTAAAAGAGAGTGGTTATATTAGACTCAATGAACTATATTAAAGGATTTAGATACGAGCTATATTGCCTTGCTAGAAATTCAATAACAAACTTGATGGTAGTATTTTGTGACACTGACAGAGAAGTTGCTTAGAAATTATGTCATGAAGGAGGTTATGAGAATCCATTCCCAGCCGAGTATTTCGAAGATTATGCTAATAGATTGGAAAGACCAAACTAATCCAATAGATGGGACAATCCATTGTTTCATCTAAGGTATAATGAAGAAACGCCATTAGAAGATATTGCTAAGACAGTATCAGATGGGAAAAAGCCAAGAGACCCAATATCTACCAAGCCTGTAAATTAAGCATTATAAAAAGTTATAGGAACATATGTTTGCCACAAACTTTATTTATGAACTCGATAAGTCTTGCTAAGATGTCATTAATTACATAATATAAAAGCAATCAGAGTACAATATAGGCGACCAAATAGTAGTTGAGAATTGCAAACAAAAGATATCTTTTAAATATACTACTTCATTCTTTCTATAATTAGCTTAACTATTTTCACTATAAAATGATGAGGATAATTTCCCCTGTGGAGTTCAAGAAATTTAAGAAGGACTTTCTAAATCTTAGTAAACTACACCCTCCCAAGAGCAAAGACAAGTTTGGAGATAGCTTTTTAGAGTTTTTGAATGGAAAAATTACAGAGTGATTCACTATATCACTATATAATCCATAATTAGCTTGTTAATTTCTTAAGTTATTTCCCATTAAGTTATTAGGGGTTTTGGGGTTTTGGGGTTTTGGGGTTTTGGGG